AAAATTTAAAATTTGTAAAATGTTCCAGTATTATAATTAAAGTATTATGTCCCTAATACTGTTCATTCCTATTTCACTGGAGTCACTATCGAGGGGTGAGATGTGTAGATGGGTCTATTATTTTTTTCGTAAAGATGCTTTTGATTCATTGTCAATTTATCACGTTTCTCGGACGAAGTTTGCCTAAAAAGTTTTTTTTGATAGATTTTTTAACAGAAAAATGGTTTATATAATATTTGAAACAACACTACTCATATAATATTGATGATAATAAAGTGTTGTAAAATGTTTTTATTGTTAATGTAAATAGCGACTTTTTAATATTTTTAAGTCTAGATTACATCTTCAATAAAAATTATTCATCTATGAAAAAAATAATAATGTATGAAGTTATGAACATATCCTCATTAAAAAATGAAAAGGAATTGATATATTTAAAGAAAAGATGGTGATGTTGAAATTAGTACTTTTCCCGATCTAAATGAATCTGATTTGAAAATATTGAAATGGAAAATTCAAATGGAGAAATTTATAAAAATGACTAGATTTGTTGTCTGTAATATGGTTCACAAGAATTATAGATTTAAAACTAATTTAGCTTTTGCAAGCCATCATTGATACTGCAATTGCTATATATAGGTACGTATTTTTACATAGACCATGTAAATTATTATATTGATATCAATGTAATACTATGTGTCCAAAATACAATACTATTCTTATAAATATACACAGTAGGTATATACATGTATCAAGTAAAATGACAATATGTCTAATTCGTAATGAATAAATGGATTGATATTATAAAATGAAGACAACTGATAATTTTTCTTTAAAATTCTCTTATCCATGTTTTAATAATTATCATTATGATATGATTTCAAAATTGTTAAATTTTCACAGTGCGCCTATGGGTCGGGGGATCCGGTCCTTCACTCTCCCTGCGTAAAGTATTTTAACTAGAGAAAAACTTCCCTGAGATACTGGTTGCACCCCCACGACTTTCAAATACATAGCTACGAGCCTGTTCCAACCCCATGCCATATAATTTATGGCTTTTACTCATAGGAAAATTTCTTTTCATTCCAAATTTTTGCAAGTACGTATATTTACCGGGTATACACGTTTATATTTTTCTATAGTATATATTTCACTTTTAAAATTTATCTGAGCATACCAAAATACATATAACTATTTAATATAAAAGTTGTGGTTGTAGAGGGGGAGGGGGTTTTGTCCAAAATAATAAAAGATTTGCTCAATCAATTTTTTTGTGTGACTGTGGGCCCCTAACCCAACCCCAATCTGGCCCTTTTGTCAAGATTTCTGAATCCGCTAATTCTAGCTAGTATGTAAATGCTTTGACCTTGAAAATACAGATAGATTCGAGTTCTATATTTGTTTGAAAGACGATGAAAAGCCAGGGAAAATTCGTGCTTCTTGTGCTTTACTTTTTATAATCAGGTTAAAGTGTGATCCACCGCATGTTATTGTACTCTCTAAACCAAATTAAATACGATCTGCGCATGCTTAGTACCTAGTGGAAAGGTCTTAGTCTTAGACCCAGTCTTACGCCGTTTTCTGAAACGTGATTTAGGCCCGACTAAATTTTGGCGTAACTTCCTTAGTCGGACTAACTTAGGCCCAAATCTAGGACTTTTTGAGAAACGAGCCCCTGCTGTTTAGTTAAGGTCTATCGCGTACAGCACAGGCTAAAATTATTAAATTACTTCGAGAATCGCATGACTCCAATTCTCATTTGATGATCTGTAGTTATTTTTAGTTAAAAATTTAAAATTCATGTTGGGAAATATATTACATGTATTTAAGTGGCTTGTCGCAGTATTTTCAATTTAATGAGAAGTGCTATATCCTTTACTTCCCATTTTAGGCACATTTTGAAACTATTTTTTTCCTCTCCAAATATTTCATACATACGTATATATTAGCTCACTTTTATGTTGTAAGTACTACACAAACAAAACCAGATGTAGGGACATTTTATTTCAGTTTACTCTTCCTTAATAAATTCCTATATACCCGGTAGTTATCTATAATTATTACTTTGACCAATTATAAACTCACTTTTGAAGACAAAAAATTACCAGTAATAGAAGATAATGAACAATGAAATAAATCTTATAAATCGAGAACTGGACAAAAATACAGACCCAGACCAGCTTTAAAAATTGTTTGGTTGCCCCCTCCTGACGGCCTGTGACTTAAAATGGTCCGACTCAATACTTTTTTCAACATTCGAGGCTACAATATTTTTTTCTTGTTATTGCTCTTATTCCGTCAACAAATAGGTTTAAGTCTTCGGGAAAAAAAATTTCCCACCTAAGTACCGCCCTAATATTTTTACTCTGAGTCGGGAGAGGGCAAGCAAACATTATTTTAAAGATGGCCCCGTTGAAACAGCGAAGAAATTTTGTCAAGATAAAAATTTTGAATCCCTTTGCTGCCTACCAAGCTTCATATAGCTTTGGACGGAAAATGTATTGCCCTCATGTTTTACTGATACCTTTTTTCAGAATTGTGATTTAAAAATATTTCTATAATACATACTTGCCTCTTGTCAAGGGGTTCAAGACTTAAAGAATTATCATATAACTACACATACTGCAGATGGCAAAAATAGATGTTTGTCTGTAAATGCTCTCCTTCATATTTAGGTAACCAGGGAAGAAGGTGTAAGCATTCTATAATTTACACAAAATGTAAATAATGTGTGAAACATATGGAGATAACGAACAGTATTAAAGATGAAAAGTCCATAAAACAAAACAAAACAGGAGCAGAGCAAACAAGGACCTCCAAAACATCAGGGGAGGTGGGATCAAGTACCATGGAAGAGTAAACATCCCCTGCCGACCAGTCACACCCGTCGTATGCTCCTTGTCATGATCGGGAAATAATGGAAAAATTCATTGTCAATTCAGTGTATAAATAATGGACTAAAAATTAGTATGAAAAAACGTCAGTCAGCAATTGACTCAATGATAAATTGTATTTGCTGACAAGGTCATTGTTTCGACCATAGAACTTACGAAATGATGACTTTAAACGAGACTGCTGATATTCTTGTTTCATCAACTTGTATATCAATAATTTACCTCGTTTCATAAATTGTACATAGGTAGAGCATACTCTTGCTTATAGAATGAACTGAGATACATAAACTCCGTATACAGGTGATAAATCTATATTGCTGCATAAGTAAGGGAAGTTGACGATAGAAAAGTTAAAGTCATCACATTTATCATAGAGCTTAATTGTTACATTGCCATTAATGTCTTTTCAAGTAAAATATCCAAATATGAAACAAATGTGTCAGACTCTGTGGTATCTTTTATATCAAACTCACCAGAATGTATCGTATCGACATAAGAATGGAAATTACAATTGTTAATTGACAATACGTCGTCGATATATCTAAATGTCGAATTAAAGGCCACAGCAAGTGTTTTCTTTTTTTCACACATAAGATATTGCACAAATTCTGCTTCATATAAATACAAAAATAGGTCTACTGATAACGGGGCTCAATTGGTACCCATTGGAATTCCAAAAGATTGTTGGAATACCTGGTCTCCAAAAACAACATAGATATCGTCAAACAGAAACTCAAGCATCTTTTTTATGTTAACTTCAGAGTACTTGTGCGAACAATCAAAATGTTTTTTAACAAAATAATTTTGCATATGAACAATGACAAGGTAAGTTACATTTTTATTGAAAAAAAACAGCTGCCAATGATATCGAAAAGCCTGGACTTTAATTTATCGAGGGGAATCGTTGAGTTTAAAGTTGAAAAGTCGTAAATTTTTAAGCTGTTGATTTTGGTGAAATCTTGTGATTTCAAATTTTCTTGGAATTTTTAAGTATCCACATCTGATTTACACCACTTCTTCAATACATCGTTGCACAGTACTCTTGAAGTTTTCTCTTTAAGTCTTTTGTTAATATGTTAGTGAGGAGTAAAGAAAGAGACTTGGTTGAACATTTACTGGAACGCGTTTACCAGTATCATTTCGTTATTCTGAGTTCTCATGAATGAATAGGTACCGAACGACAAATATCCTCGGGGACAGACTGTCCACCAGCAGAGATACATGTTCTGTGATTAAATTGAAATATATGGAGACAACGAACAGTATCCAAGCCCAGAAGGTCATTTAACAATACAGAATAGGAGCAGAGCAAACACGGACCTCAGAAACATCAGAGAAGGGTTCAGGTGTCATGGAGGAGTAAGCATCTCTTGCCGACCGGACAAACCCGCCGTGTGCTCTTTTTCATGATCGGGAAATAAGTTCAAATAACGGAAAAACTTGGAATGGACTATTACTGCAAAAATATAAGAAGAGTTGATGAAATCTGTTTTGAGATAAAAATTCAATGTTTTTAATCCATCCCATGGGAAAATCCAAATACCAAACCATATTGCGCATCTACTGTATTCCTCAATCATATTCTAAGATATGAAGAGGATTCTGCGAAAATGGAATGGTAGTTCAGGAACCAAGATTCATCGATTTTACCCCTTCACCAAATCTTTTTGCATACATACAAGATACCATCAGTCTAATATCTAAAAGATAACTGACTTCTTAAAATTTAGGAACAGTTTGAGGAAGAAGAGAAAGTTACTGACGGACGGACAACCGGAAGGGTAACGATAATATACTTGTACCCGATTTTTCATATCAAATAAATAGTATCTCGCCTTAGAAGGAGCTTGATCGTTCTCGTAAATTGTTTTTAATCTTCATTCTCTAAGGATATTTTCTTAAAGATTGGTTAAAATGTTCTGGAAAGTCTCTGAATTCTCTGGGAGGTTAAGTGGCCTTTTTTTTTTTTTTTTTTTTTTTTTTTTTATAAAGTTTTATGACTTTTTAAAGTCACAGACAGTAAATAATCTAGAATATGTACTGAAATGGAGAAAACATCAGGGTGTGAGAAGGAACAATCAAATCAAAAGACATTCATTTCTATACCTGTTTTTCGATTTCGATATGAGGTCCCCTTCTCGTCACATTTAATGCAACAACATACATATGTGGGGCGGAGGAATATTTCACTTCTCCTATCACAGACTTCGCTTTGTCTTCATCACTTTCCACAGTCAACAATTTCTCTGGGAAAAAATCACAATATGCATTGCTTCTAGTGTTGCACAAGAGTATAAGAGGGTTGGCCATCGGTCCAAGGAGTGCTTCGTAAGCCCAGGTTGGAACTGATTGTTGACAGGATTGTACTTTTTCTCTATACACATCCTGTAGTCGCTTCAATCGAGGATAAAACGAACTTGGAATCTCAAGCTTTAACATCTTTGAGGCCATGGTCCTGGTACATGTAATTGAAACATGCGCTTGTAGTTTTATACGGTAGTCCTCATTTCACAAAAAGATGGTTACCTGAGATTCTCTCCCCACTAATCCTTATAACTAATATTTTAACCCTTTCCAGCCAGCGATTGCTTATTATCAGATGAATGCCTGATAGGCCTACTTCCTGATACTTAAGATACTTTTATCATAGTCATACGAAACTTCTGGTTTTTCCACGTTTATTTTCTTATTCGATTGTTGAAGTCAAGTTCAGAAAATTGCCTCATTTGAAGTGTTTTGTGATAAAATACTTTTTGTGCAGTTAAAAACGGGAGTCATACTAAATTTAACACTAGACTGTACGATAAGATAAAGAGCTTTTGATAGAATATATTTTGTATCGACCCTCTTTACAGTTTTGACTCAGCAAATGAAATAAAATTACACCTTAGACCCAACGAAGCATAACTCATTGTACTGACGACACCTTTTATCAAAGCGGGTACAATTTATGAATTTTTCATCGTTCTCTGCGTCTAAATGAATCTCAAAGTCATGTCAATTGACAATTGAACAGCAACAATTGATTTTATCTGTTTAATGAACTTTGTTCAGAAAAATGCATTTGTTTTGTCTATCAGCTTAACACATTTTCTTCTTTTTAACACTAGACCAAAATCAACCAATCTTACCACAAAGCATGCTTTGGAGAAGGGGTTTTCATTTGGTCAAATGAAGGACCAATCTCTCTATCAATGGATAATTTTTACTTAATGAATGGCATGAAACATGTCAGACAAATAACAACTGGGTTCGACAATGATAGGGGTAGGTTTTACACGTATCTACAATCAAGGTCATTATAACGATCATATACTTGGCTTAAAACTGAATTAAATAGGGTTGTTGAAATCCTGTAACATCAAACTGTTGGTAAGTAGCTATAGTTTGTCTCAATTTAAAAATTTATCATACTCATATAATGTTTAGGATACGTAAAGACTTATACAGGTGAAGATGGTACATAGGAAGTTAAGGATGGAAAAGATAACGTTTATATCCCGTTTGTGGTACAGTTAAAGTGATAGATGGACATTTTCGTCTTTACCATATAAAACAGTCAAATATGAAACAGAAATGATAGATCATATACTCTGTTTTATTTTGAGTTTACTTGGATACATGACATATGAATGATATATATAGAGAGATCTACAACGGACAGTATATTCAAGCCCAAAAGTCCATCAAACAATACAAAATTGGAACAAAGCAAACATCGACCTCCAAAACTCAAGAGGCGGGATCAGGTGCCATGTAGAAATGAGCAGACCTGTCACACCCGTTGTGTGATCCTTGTCATGATCGGGAAATAGCGGAAAAATCCGTCGTCAATTTAGTGTGTAAATAATTGCATAACAATAAGTATGAAAAACGTGCATTGGTGATGGTACCACTGGGTAGTGAAAAGCGTCTAGTGTGATGGGGATCGACCAGTAGATCAGCTATCGCCACTGGCTAGCCTACTTGTAGGTGAAAGAAAGAGTCGAGTGCGTAATTCTTTCCTTGCCAGTACAAAGCCTCTGCACTATCAAGACTCCTACAGTGCCTTCTCGTGGCAATGCACGGATACTGTGGGCACTCACCTCAGGCTGATCTGTAGGAGAGTATCAAGGACCCCAGAGATGCAGTGTGTAGGCCCATCGGCGTATGGATATGCCCTAGCACTCATTAACCTTGACCCAGCTATGGGAAAAATAGCTCTACTGCCTTGTAGATGACTTGGGAGAGCCAAAGTCTATGGGAGTAAAGCCAGAAAGAAAATCCGGGGAGAAGGAACTCGTTAGCATTGGATTGCAATCATCTATGGGAAGGACAACCCAGAAAGAAAACCCGGCTTAACAGAGTGGAGGTTTGGCGTACGGCTAACTACCCTACCCAGTAAAAAAGAACTAGTTACAGAAACTTCAGCAAATGTCATAAATAAAAACTGTGTCTGCGAAGACTTAAGCCTAAACACAGGCAATATGACATCTTCTATGAGATTGATTGATAGTCTTCTAAGGCCGAAAGAATAAACTTCGAGTTGGAGCATGGATTGTTCGCACGATGTACGAACAATCAAAGACAGCACAAGTTGCGGATGAAATGCAGAGATACAAGTTGGATATACTCGGAATAAGTGAATGCCGATGGATTAAATCAGGCAAAATTAGAATTACTAGTGGCCATACCATATTGTACTCAAGGCACAATGACAAACATCAAAGTGGGATTGCAATCATGATAAGCAAAGACAAGATCAAAACACTGCTTGAATGGGAACCAATTAGTGATAGACTAATTAGAGCAAGGTTAAACTCCAAATACTGTAAACTGACAATCATACAATGCTATGCACCAACAAATGATGCCGAAGAAGAAGTGAAAGATGAATTTTACGAGAAGTTACAGATGGTTGTCTCTAACGTCCCTCAGCATGACATGCTGCTGATAATGGGAGACCTAAATGCAAAAGTGGGTACTGACAACACTGATTGTGAGATATTTATGGTCAAACATGGATGTGGAATTAAGAATGGCAATGGAGAGCGCTTCATTGATTTTTGTCTCAATAACAACCAAATGATAGGAGGCACAATATTTCCTCACAAGGATATACAGAAGCTCACGTGGAAATCTCCAGATGGTAGAACAACAAACCAGATTGATCACATAACTGTAAACAGCAAATGGCGCAAATCCCTACAAGATGTTAGAGTATGCCATGGAGCAGATGTCAACAGTGACCACTATCTGTTGAAAGCCATTATAAAACTAAAACTTCGCAGAAATCCCAAAAAGCAGGAGACAAAAAGGAAGATAGATGTGGAAAAGTTAAAGATACCAGACACACGAAAATCTTTCAATCTGAAATTGAAGAACAGATTCTGTAAGAAAGTCTTATTGTTGTTGAAGATATTCAAGAAAGGTGGGACACGATCAAGAAAGTGTATATTGAAGCCGCCGAAAAAACTGTAGGCTACCGAACCAAGAAGAACAAAGAATGGCTAACACCTGGTACATGGGATAACATAGGTGAAAGAAAGAACATAATGCAGAAAATTATCAGTACGAAGTCTGCAAGGTTACAAGAACAACTACAAGCTTCCTATAAAGAAAAAGATAGAGATGTCAAGCGAAGTGCCAGGAGGGATAGTTGACAGTCTGGCACATGAAGCTGAACGAGCTGCTTCACATGGAGAAATGAGCACTGTTTACAAAATAGCAAAAAAGCTATGTGGTCGCACTACAACCCAACCTGCTCTTGTGAAAGATCAAGATGGTCATCCACTGGCAACAGAACACGAACAAGCCAACCGCTGGATACAATATTTCCAGGAAGTACTAAATTGCCCAGAGCCTGATGAACCAGCGAGTCCAGACCCTGCAGTTGAAGACTTAGAAATAAACTTAGAACCACCAACTCTCGAAGAAGTCCAAAACTATTAAAGCATTAAAGAATGGTAAATCCCCATTCAATGACTGCATACATGCTGAAATGCTGAAATCAGATATTGCAACATCATCAAAAAGGCAATTACATCTATTCGTACATATCTGGGAAAATGAAACAATACCACATGGCTGGAGTAAAGGACGCATTGTAAAGCTGCCCAAAAAGGGAGATCTCCAAATTTGTGACAACTGGAGAGGCATTACACTGCTCTCATTTCCCAGCAAGGTGTTCTGCAAAATACTGCTATACAGAATAGTCAAAGTGATTGAAAAGAAATTGAGAGAGGAACAAGCTGGATTTAGAAGAGGAAGAGGGTGTATAGACCAAATTTTTGCCATTCGTAACATTATAGAACAGTATATTGAATGGCAAATGCCACTGTATCAATTTCATTGATTTTAAGAAAGCTTTTGACAGTGTGCACAGGGAAACACTTTGGAAAATAGTAAGATCATATGGAATACCAGCAAAGATCTGCAACATCATGAAAACATTTTACTTAAACTTCGAGTGTAGTGTCATCCTGGAAAATGGAGTATCGGACTCCTTCAGTGTAAAATCTGGAGTATGGCAAGGATGCATACTATCACCAATTCTCTTCCTTATGGTCATTGATTGGATCCAAAGAAACACCATACAGGACAAAAAGAGGGGTATCCAATGGACAATGTTCAGTCGCCTAGAAGACCTGGACTTTGCAGACGATCTGGTAGAAGTATCAAAAAACATCATCCACCTACAAGAAAAGACTGATAAATTAAACTCCTTTGCCAAACAAACTGGGTTTAGCATCAATGCTAAGAAGACCAAGGTCATAACAATCAATGCACCAGTAGAACCTGTAACATTAAATGGAGAGGCACTTGAGAAAGTTGAGGACTACACTTATCTTGACAGTATCCAAAGTAAGGACAATGGCACTGGTAAAGACATAAAAGCACGTCTCAGTAAATCACGGACAGCATTTGCCCAGCTTCAGCCCATCTGGAAGTCAAACAACTACAGTCTGAGAACCAAACTCAACTTTACAACAGCAATGTCAAATCAGTTCTCCTGTATGGGTCTGAATGCTGGCGTGTTGTTGACAGCGACATGAGAAAAGTAGAGGCATTCAACAACAACTGTCTTCGAAAAATCCACCGTATCTTCTGGCCAAACAAGATCTCTAACAGAGACCTGCACAAGAAAAGCAAAAACAGGAGTACGAGGGCTGTACAATGAATAATGTCCTCGGTGCTCAGAAATAAGCAAACGACGCTTTTCAATGATTTAGTCTTCATGATTTTACTTATTAATCTCTTTTAATTGAAACACATGTCCGTAAGATTTTTATCCAATTTCTGATTGTTTTTAGGACTCATTTTTGGGTATGACCCTTAGAATACTGGAAAATGGCAGATCCAATGATTTCCTGGACTTGTTTTTTCCTTCTGAAAGGTGGTTTTTTTCAAGTTTGGAAATAGAAACAAGTCAAAAGGTCAAAGATCTGGCAAATATTGTTAATATGAAAAAACATTAACTTTCTGTTTATCCCGAAAACCCCTTTACTCTTCAGGACATGCGGGTTTGGACGCTGTCGTGAAGAAATTCACTGTAGTGGATTCCTGATTCTGGGCCCTTCCTCTAATAAACCTTTTGATTTTTTTTTTTTGCAAAAAATTGCTTTCTAGACTCCTCCAGATATTAAACTGTCTCCCCGAATACGAATTTGAACAACAAT